GTAAACTGACTGTAACTCAAAAAAAAAAGTTACTATGATAGCTTAGGAAAGAAATAATGAGGACCCTTCTCACTGTGTCTTTTATTCAACACTCAAACTCTCTCTGAACTTTTCCAAATAAATTTCAAATGGCCCAAATCCTAAAATTTAGTTCAAGTCACTTTTCAGTTAAAGAGGATATAAAATGAATCTTCCAAATCTTAAGTTAAAGAAGCAAAAGTCTTCAGTAGCAAGAGAAAAATACCATCATGAAACTCTAGACTTGGAGACTTGATCTGGCTTTCAATCAATTGGCTGAAACCCAGTTTCTGCTAATGTTGATTCCTCTGGTTGGAAAATTCCTAGGCTATTATTATTTGTAAGAGTTGGAATTTCTTTCTGATTTTCAATCCAAGCCACATGGAAATAACATAGAAATGGAGGCTGTTCACTTTGAATTTACTCTCATTCTCAGTGTTTTGGCTCTGGTGTCATGGCCCAGTATCCACCAGGAGGAGGCATTGTCTGAGCACTGTTGGGAAACATTCATTCCTGGGGAATGACATTGCTTCCTTATCTGGCTGAAATCAGTCTGAGAAGGAGGACTGTTGTTTCTAATGAAGAAAGAGCTCCACCCTCGGCCGCTGCCACAGCTTCTCTGCCAATAAATAAGAGCAAAGCCTTTGTCCTCCAAGTACCTCCAAAATGGATGCTTTTCAGGGGATTGTAAAGTTCCTCCTCAACCAGAAGACGGTTATTGGCTACAGCTTCATGGCTCTGCTGACCGTGGGAGGTGAGCGTCTCTTTTCACTCGTGGCTTTTAAGTGTCCCTGCAGCACTGAGAACGTGGTCTACGGACTGGTTTTCCTCTTTGCTCCTGCCTGGGTGTTATTGATCCTGGGATTCTTTCTGAACAACAGATCCTGGAAACTCTTCACAGGCTGCTGTGTGAATCCCAGGAAAATCTTCCCCAGAGGCCACAACTGCCGCTTTTTCCATGTCCTCGGCCAGATCACTCTGAGTTCACTGGTGGCTCCAGTGATGTGGCTTTCTGTGGCTTTGCTCAATGGGACTTTCTATGAATGTGCCGTGAGCGGGACCACAAGTTCAAGACTCCTGAGACTGATCTGCAAGGACAAACCCACAGAGTGCTGGAAAGAACTTCACAAAGTATCTTGCGGCAAAACCAGCATGACCCCCACAGACAACGAGGAACTGAAGCTGTCCCTGCAAGCCCAGTCTCAGGTAAGAAAGGACAAAGTGCCTTTCTCTCCCCATAGCATGAGCCTGATGTATTCTCTCTGTACTCCTTTAAGTCAGGGCTGAGTCTGAATCCTGCTAGAACATTTTGAAACTAAATGGAAACTGGAACATGGTGCAGCGTTAAGACAATCTCAGGAAATGCTTTTTAGAGTTTGGATGGCTAGTAAAATTGCTGATTGCATTGTCTTTTCCATTTCCGAAAAGGAAATAGCTTCTGAGTTATACATATGTAAATGTTTAAGCACTTTAAAACAATCTGTTGGGGCGGACTTTGTAAATAATGCATGAGGCTAACTCATAATAGTGTTAACAACAGAGCTGTAATTAGAAGTTACTGCCTTTTGTCAATTATTTTCAAACTGGCTTCTCAAAAGCACATGTAGCATTCATCTATTAAAATACAGCTGAGCCAACGGGGCTACCACTTTTCAAAGCTGCACATAATACAATTAGTGTAGCGATTCCCTTGATTTCTGGCAATGGCTATCTCTGTGCATAAATATTGTCAAGACTGAGAGGGATTTCCTGTACAAAGCGGGTGCTGGCAGCCTCCAGGGAAACCGGGCTATATTCTCTGGGAAGGTTGCATCCTATGCTGTCTGTACTCTACAGTGAAGGAGGTTCTTAACGTTCACTTTAGAAGCTCAAGATTTGGGGCATTATTTTCTTTAAGAGAAGGAAATTGCAGCTTTAGCTGATTGACGCAAGAAAGTAGCTTGTCACCCTTCCAGGTATGTGAGCACAAATCCAGATGTGAGCCTGGCCCTGGCCTCAGGAAGAGACTGAATTCTTACTTGTGAATAGTAGGAATTCATTCCCCAAACAAGCAATAAGAGTACATAAACAGATTCACAGTTTGTCAGAAATGCTATTTAAGATGAAAGGTGGTAAAAATAGTGTAATTTTACTTTTTCATCACAGACTTGCCTTTTCAACAACATAGCAAGGCAAAATCTTCTTTTAAAATCAGACTTTCCAAAACTGGTTGACAGTATAGTCACACTCTTTTCATAAACTGAGAAACCTAAAAATGCTCCCAAACAAAAATCTTTTGTTTAATGCATAAAGCACATCTTAGATAAAAATATGCCAGGCTCCCATATGTCTTCCTTCTTTTGTTGAAGGAAGGTATTAATTACAAATGTTATGTTGTATGATCTGTGTCCTCAGGCACCAGGCTCCATTCATGTAGTGCCAGATCCAAACTCTTATCACTGTGTGAGCGTTTCTTCTTCTCTAAACACAGGTGTAAGGAAATCATGCACATCCTGTCCTAGCTTAGCCTGGGCACACTGATCTGTTTACCTTTCGGAGGAATGAAAAGGACCTGGGGGCTGATTCCTAGTGGGGGATGCATGAGGGATGTTGGCAAAGGGAGCTATATCAAGAGCAGGTGTTGACCGCAGTGCTTCAGACAGGCAGCAGCAACAAACAGTCCAGACCAACAATTGGGTATGTGCATGGGGGTGGAAAAAGTGCCCCATCCATAGGTGGGGCAGAAAAACAAGAATTACAGCTGGATGGCTCTCTATCCTTAAGGAAGGGAGAGTAGAGTAGTGGCAAGAACTCCATCCTGGAATTGATCAACCTTGGGTTTGAATCCTGATTCTGCCACTTACCAGCTATGGGGCCCAGAGCTACCGGTTTGACCCCTCTGAGCCCCAGTTCCCTCATAGTTGAGGGTAATAACACCTACATTGGAGGGTTGCTGGAAAGTATAGAGTTAATGGGCATAAATGGGCATAAAGCTACTGGCACACTGTAAGTGTCCTAAGTTGATGAGAAAAATGCCAGGGTTTGAGGGAGAAGACCCGTGCAGAATGGGACACTATTGAGGGCTGGGGAGGAGCATCCGCCATGTCTAGTCAGATTCTGGCTGGGTACCATGAATTAGGGAAGAGCAAGAGGATAGTGTTCAGCACTCAGGTGAGACCAAGGAGAAGCTAAAGTTATCCAGTGGGGGGAAGACGAGTCTGAGCTGATCAAATAGTTTATAATTCAGCAGAATTGGTTCAGATATTGAGGTGAGATGGTCTACTGACCTACAGGAGGATAGGCTGTGTGGGAAAAGAAAGGTAGAGGTTAGAAAGGAGGAAGATCTGAGGTAGCCAACCATGAGTGATTAAAGTAAACAGAAGGACTTTCACACGATGGGAGCTAAGCCTCATTCATGAGTCATGTCAGAAAGATGCCCTGCATTCAGTAATGCTTCTACATAGATGTGTATACATTTGAAAAATAGCAGGAGGTGATCATAGCTGACACTTACTGAATCCCATATATGTCTACATCACCTCATTTTAACCCCCTCAATTACCCTCTGAGGTGGGGAACCCCTACTTTACACATACGGAAACTGAGGCACAGAGAATACCCATAAAAGGGGAAAGCTAAGATTAAAACCCAGCTAGTGCCAAAGGCACTCAAGTGAGGTCTGAGATTCTGCACAATGACCTCCATGGTCTGAGTCAGAGCTTGGGGACCACTGGTTTAAAGCTTTGGAGCTTATTTGTGGTTCTGTTGTGGTCTGAATGGGCTCATTTGCAGATTGCTGATTCTCTGTTCAAATAGGCCCATCTGGTGAGAAATAATAAGGACCATTTGACTAACATGTTAAGAGAAATTTTGAAATAGCTTTGCTAGTTGCCCACACATGAAAGTAATTCCATTTGTGAAAACAAAAACAAAAAAGTTTAGAAGATAAGTTGAGCTGTTCAGACTTCTGTTTTGGGAATTCAGAGGGGGAAAAAAAAACCCAGCTGAGCCAGATTGTATTCAGAGGGGAATCTGTTTTTTCCAATTACCAAAATTCAGAACCATCAATCCTGAAGATTCGGAGTGACTCTATTTTTTTCCTTCAGCTTTTGTGAAGGCTTCCAATTTTTATAGCCTCAGTTTCCTTATTGTATTATGTTTGTATTACTTTGTGATGGATAATGAATAATGGTATTTCTCTCAGGGAGGGTCTGCTGTTCTCTGCAAACAATGTAACACGGGAAAAATCAGTTCGCTATCCATGAATATGCGTTTGTCGAGGCCTGAAAACACCTGGCTAAGGAACTGGTCGTTGCTCACATGACCACATTTACTCACGCACAGAATTCGTTCCTCTAGTAGCTAGTACCATGTGAGGGCTTGGCTTGTCCAGTTCTTGGATAATCTCTATTTTTGCTCTTTTCCATTTGCCTGCATTCCGGGTGTTTCTTTGCAAATCAGCAATGGTGGGTAGGATGGAGACTAGAGGTTAGGAAAACCCTAACTTTATTTGACTGTAAAAAACTGTTGTTAATAATTAAGATGAAGGACTTCAACCAAGGTCTGGCAATGACTGTGGGATTAATTTAGCTGTACACTTCCCAATGACACCACCACCACTCCCTGAGAAGTGACTGAGCTTTGTATGTCCTCAATGTTTCTTTCTTTCTAAGATTCTAGGATGGTTCCTGATTTGCTCAGCATCCTTCTTCTCTCTGCTCACCACTTGTGTCACTCGCTGCCGATCTAAAGTTAGCTACCTTCAGCTGGATTTTTGGAAGACGTATAAACAAAAAGAGAAGGAGCAGTTGGAAAATACATTCCTGGACTATGCCAAAAAGCTGAGCGAGAGAAACCTGAAATGCTTCTTTGAAAACAAGAGGCCAGATGACTTCCCCTTGCCCACCTTTGCAGCCTGGGAGGCTGCTTCAGAGCTACATTCTTTCCACCAAAGCCGGCAACACTACAGCACCCTCCACAGGGTGGTGGAGGACGGTCTGGAACATAGCCCTGAGGACGATGAGACCACAATGGTACTTGTGGGTACTGCCCACAACGTGTAGCTCATCATCACTGACTCGCAGTGTCCAACAGTACAGTCATTCTGACATCTTCCCACAGTCACCAGCTACCTGAGTATCTCTGCGTTTTCTCACATTTAGTGTTTCCTTACAAGACAATTACCCAAAGGGAAGCAGGTTTACAGCTCCCACTGCAGACAGTGTCAAGTGCTCAGACTGATGCTGAATGACTGGCCAAGGGTGGTGACAAAAGTGCTTTTGCATTGGTTGTGGTTTGGGCTCAGTGGCTTCAAGTTCTAAGATTTCACGATTGACAGTGAGACTCATGCAAGATGTTCTGCTGCTCTGTGTAAATATTGGTCATGGCATCTGGGGGCAGGTACTCTTAATAGTGAGTGAGCGAGGTACTCTTAACAGACAGCTGTGCAGTGGAATCTGCAGTGTAGTCACAGTGGAAATCCTTCTGTAAATCTCTCCTGCCTCTCAAGGATGTACGAAATTCTATGGCTTGAAATTCATTTCTTTGGAATCTGAAGACCTCGTTTCTCAAAAATAACACATTGAAAGGATATGATACCTAAAATTCAGTGCTTTTCACATGTTTCGACTCTGTACTGAAAGTAGACCCCTATATTCAGGGCTGTATTATGATTTTTGTGGGCTCTAGGCACTTTTGCCTTCATGGACCAGTTTCTACATTAAAAAGTACACGCATACACATACACACAAGCACACACATGTATATACAGACATATATTTATGACTGTATTGATATAAAATCATATACATTAATATTAATGTTAAAGCTTTTTTTCAACCTTAAAGTTCGTTTATTTCCTTGTGATTTTATAAGAAACTAAAAATGTTTTTGTGGGCCCCTACAGAATGCAAATTTTGCAGTCTATTATGTAATACATCCATGTTAGTTTAAATATATATATTAATTCCCTCTAAATCTCTGAGTGGAATTGATATTTAAAGAAGAGGCACCATGTTGTATGCTGTGGCTCACACCTCCCACCACAGAGAGTCCTTGCCTTCTAGTTTGAGAATCCTGGGAATGAACTCCTTATTACCATGGAACTTTATCCCAGGTTGGGGGAAGGACCCTGAGGTAAAAGACCTGGAACATGTCCTGGGGAACTTGGAGGTGCAGAGTCAGGTTGTGTGTGTAGGTGGGAGAGTGGGACATGGGGGCTGGGAGTTGCAATATTTGAAATATTACTTGGGTTTTAAACATGGTGTGTGATAAAATGTTTAACAACTGGCTCTTGGAGAAAAAAAAGCCCTGATTCAAAGTGTTTGCCAATTTCTGTGATGCAATTTCAAGTTACCAAGGTGATGGCACTGAAGGCAGAGTTAGGAAGAGATGCTAACCATGGGCTCTATGAGCTGATATGAACTTTCTAAAAAGGTTTAACAGGTAGCATTTTTTTGCATTTATTTTGCTTCTAACCAAGCCATCTTTGGTGCATCTGGGTTTCACTGTAACAAAACCAAACCAAACCAAACCATGGTAAATGAAAATATGGCTCAATGGCTCTGATTGAGAGATGGGTCTTTTTCCCTTCTCCTTGATTCTGGCTTTAACAAACCAATAGAATGAAGCAGAAGTTAAGCCAGATTGCAAAACTGTTGCAGTTAAGCCTTGGTTTCTGGCAGTGCTCAGCCTGCTGAAAGCCAGCCAGCAGACAGGAAGTGCAATTACCCTGAATGTCCCAAACTCTGAAGAAGACCAAGTTAGCCAAGTGGAGAGACAGAGTGAGGAGAGAGAGAGAGAGAAAGAGAGAGAGAGAGAGAAAGAGAGAGAGAGAGACAGATGGTACTTGGCCAGCCCCAACTGTTTGAGTCGTTCTAGCCTAGGTGCCAGGCATGCGAGTGAAGAAGCCATTTTGGACATTCCAGCCTCAGGAGACATGACGTGGACCAGAACCAGGGAACCCAACCAACAGCCAGAAAAAAGACCCCAGATCTATGGTTTGAGGGAAGTCATTCCAGACATCCAGACTTTTGAGCTACCCCATCTGAGGCTGCCGATGTTATTAAGGGGTCCTGGGTATGTCCTGTCCAAATCCCTTATTCAGAAAATCATGAGCTTAAATAAATGTTTGTTGTTTTAAGCCATCAAATTTTGGAGCAATATGAAATAAGATAGCCTGAACACTAACACATGAGGATCAGAATTTATTAAAGAGAGAAATCAGAGGCAAATTGCGTTGATATATAGACTTATACCAAAATTCGCCCTATGCGTAGGTTTTTTCCTTACTAGTTTTTCCCTTTTGATTCCAGTAAGCAGTATCTCCTCCATGAAATGATCTGATAGATGATGAATAGGTACCTCTCCGAACTGTCTCCACCAAAGCCTGAAGTACAATTTAAATTATTTTGGGTTAAATTTGGTTTGAGAGGAACACACTGCTGTGGGTTAAATTCAATTGAAAATAAACATATTATTTGTCATTAATGTCTAGGAAAAAATGGGAGTGGAAGGTACAAGCCAGGCTGGCCTTGAGCAAGCCAAAACAGATGGGTCTTCCAGTCTTGCTCCTCAGTGTTGTCTTCAGACCACCAGCATCAGCATCGTGAGGGAGCTAGTTAGTAATGCAGAATCAGACCCTACCTAGAACTGCTGAATCGAGCCTGCAGTTTAACTTGACCTTAGGTGATTCCTGTGCAACTTAGATTTTAGAAGTGCTGGAGCAGAGGTTCTCAAACTTTAAGCCTTGTCAAAATCATTCGGATGGCTTGTTAAAATGTAGATTGCTGAGTCTGACTGTCTGATTTGGTAGGTCTGGGGTGATGTGAGGGAATTTGTGTTTTTAACAAGTTCTCAGGTGCTGCTGCTGCTGCTGGGCTAGGGATCACATCTTGAGAACAACTGCTGTAAGACACAGAGCAGGCCATGCTGGGGAATGTAGGCTAGAAGAAAAGCAGAATCTTGGGCCCCGCCCCAGATCTACTGAACTAGACATTATGCTGGCATCAATCTGTCTGAGAACATGGGGTGACTTTCCATTTATTTTCCATTTACTCAACACTACCTTTCATCCTTTAAGGATATTTTAACGTTTTCCTCACATAAGTTTTGCAAGTGTGCATTTGTAGGTATTCTTTGCTGCTGGTACAAATGGTGTCTTTTTTTTGTGATATCTTCCAAGTGATGGTTACTTGAGTACATGAAAAAACTATTACTTTCTGTGCATCAATTTTATATGCCTCTACCTTACTGATTCTTGATTATTTTATTATTTGTGGAACTTTTCAGAATTATAAAATAACAATTTTGCAACCCCTAAGGACATAATGGATCTAGACAATAAATAATCTCTCAACAACTTGTTGGAAGTGTGATGGGTGAGGAGCATGCAACTTGAAGCCACTTGGAATGCCACTCTGTCTTAGCATCACTAAAAATGGGACAACCGCATATTATGTGCCTCCTAATGTTATGCAGTGCAAGAGTAAATACAAAGTACCACCTGTGAAATACCGTTTCCTGAAAAAAAATTAAATCTGACTCTAATCAAGTATTTAGTTCTTGCTACTAGTTTATGGGAAGTATAGGCAAGAGAAAACAAGTTAACTAGCATCACAAGGAAGCAACCAAGTACATCTACAATATAGGACATTCTATTTGACATGTGACCCAGTTTTCCATAGACCAATGGCATTTATAAAATAGAATAAAAGAGATATAAGATATATAACAACCAGAAGCAACATGTGGGTCTTATTTGTGTCCTGTTTCAAGCAACCAACCAACATAGCATATTTTTGAAATATTTAGGGAACTATGAATGGATATTAAATGAGTATTAGATGACATCAGGGAATTGTTCATTTTGATATTTATGATAGTAGCATGTTGGTTTACACTTGTTTTTTAAAAAAAAAGTCCTTACCAGCTAGAGATGCATGTTGAAATATTTATATATGAATTACAATGATGTCTAGCACTTTCTTTAAAATATTTTAGCACAAAAAAGGGAAGAGCTGAAAGCTGAAATAAGATTGCAAAATATTAATACTTATTGAAGCTGAATAGTAGGTACATGGTGCTTATTACATGTTCTGTTTATATTTGTGTGTGTTTGAAAATTTTCATAATAGTTATGCAATAAAATAAATTATGTGTTCACCACAGTTCTTTTGCTGACGCTGTGACAGTCAATCCCTGTTTGCCTGGAGTTTATCCTTTAGTATTATTCTCAGAAAAGGTTCTCAGGAATCCTAGTCCCTGAATTTTACATATTCAAGTTATTGGCCTATTTTATACTTAAAGGACAGTTTTGCTGGTTCTCTACTTGGATATATTTTAAGTGTTACTCCATTGTCCATTGTGATTGAATATTGTTAAGGAAAAATCCAGTGCCATCTTAACTTATTACTAACATGATATTTTTGCCTCTATTCTCACAAAATTCTTTCTTCATCTTTAAAGCCTAGTAACATTACTAAATATGCCTTCAGATAGGTCTTTAGGATCAATTTTCCCTGCCACAAGCTATACTCTTATTATCGAGAAATATTTTCTGTTTCAAGAGAATGGAGTTTGTGAGTTTCCCATTATTCTCCTTGTTATACTGTAAAATTTTCAAGAAACCTTACGGTTTTGGATTCAGAACTAGGCCACTGCTATGTTCCTATTGGAATTTCATTGATTTAATAATAATTTTAAATTACAGCTAAGTTATCTTGTGGTCTCGATTTTTGTATCACCTATCCCTACCCTCTCCTTCTCCTTTTCCCACTCATGCAACCAGAATAGAGTCAATACTTGACTTTTTGACATTTGTAGCCCCTCACCCGTGAGATAAATAGCAAGGAGCAGTGGATCTGTTCATGCACCTTTTATGTGGCAGCTGTGAGGGTGAAGATTTTTCTCCTTTGTGTGGTTGCTGCCTTGATCATTATCATGTATTCAACCCAATCCCATCATTGCCCAAAGCCCCCAAGGGAGCCTAGACTGCCCTGAGGAACTGACACAAGGAAGGATCTGGCTCCAGTTTAATCATTTATAGCATTGGATTCTGACTAAATGTTAATGAAGTCCAAAATGTGTGCTGGGACACTGTGAGGTTTGAGGAGAGGAAAAAGGGCAAGCTGAGCTACTGAGGCTGGACTTGAGCATGGAGGGTAACCTCAGGAGGAGGCCACTGCTACTTGGAGGTGAGGCAAGTGCCAGTGCCTTTGTACTTATAGCTACTTGAGTAGGATTTTGGTCAAGAGCATTAGGTTAGTTTAATCCGTTTTGGAGTTTGGAATATTTTTATTACAAACATAAAATGTCACAGAAGCAACCTAAATGTCCATTGACAGATGAATGGATAAGGAAGATGTGGTATACACACACACACACACACACACACACACACATGATGGAATACTACTCAGCCATTAAAAAGAATGAAATAATGCCATTTGCAGCAACATGGATGGACCTAGAGATGATCATATTAAATGAAGTAAGTCAGAGAGAGAAAGACAAATATCATATGGTATCACTTATATGTGATATCTAAAAAAATGACCTTATTTACAAACCAGAAATAGACTCACAGACATAGAAAACAAACTATGGTGACCAAAGCAGGGAGGAGAGATAAATTAGGAGTTTGAGATTAACATTTATACTCTACTATATATAAAATAGATAAATGACAAGAACTTACTGTATATAGCACTAAATATAAATATAGGGAACTATATTTAATATCTTGTAATAACATATAATAGAAAATAATCTGAAAAAGAATATATAAATGTATGACTGTATAAATATGTATAACTGAATCACTTTGCTGTACACCTGAAACTAACACAACATTGTAAATCAACTATACTTCAATTAAAAAAACAAATAGAAAATGTTTTATTTGAGTCTGGAAAAAAACCCTGCCTTTAGGCTGCTTCAAATAATATTTTCAATGTTCAGTTTGTTAAAATTGAGCTCTGCAGAAAAAATGCTTGTCTAGCTATAAGAGAGATCATATGCTAAATTTTGCTACTCCAGTAAAGATGATAGACAATATTAAAATTTATTAACAAACTATAATGTGCTGGATACTTTGCACATGATTTACATTTAAAATCTCACAAGCATACTCACAAGCATACTGGGAAGGGAGTATTATTGTTTCCATTTTTATGAATAACACTAAATTTCAAAAAAGTTAAGCTACAGGTAAGAGATAGAGCTTAAATCTGGACATAAATGCTGCCTCAGGTTGGTGTATCCTCAAGTGTTCATTTAATCTTTAAAAAAAGTTTCCTCATTCGTACTATTAGAGTGTTGGATTAGTACATGCCAGAGTTTCTTTCAATTCTGTTATCCTAAATCTCAAGGCCAGTGGCACATGAATTCCCAGTGAGCTGGCTTTGTGGTGCACTCCAGGGAATTGATGTCTGTCTCCAAGCTTTCTGGCCTCTGTCTGAGCCCCTGGCCTCTCTTCCTTTCTGCACAGATTTTTCACCTTTGGTTTCTAGACATTTGAGACAGTTATGTTCAAACTGTGCTTCTAGTTTACTGTATCAGTGAGATTGACTTCTTATTTTATTCCCTTAGTTAAAAATGATAACTGATAAAGAAGAAATTTTCAGCAGTGGAAAGTTCAGAAAAGACAGAATAGTCCCTAAACTTTAACTTTTATATCTTCTAGAGTACCTCTTTCTTTTTGACCAGCCATCGTTTCGTAGTTTCAGATTTCCTGGCCCTACAGTCATACCAATGCCAGAGAAAAATCTTTAAAAGTTTTAAATTATAATGAAAACTGAAGTTAAACTGGGGGAAATGAATTAATTCACCTAATCACATTATCTAGAGCATTTCAAAAATAGGATAAAGTATCAACTCAGATGATAATGAATGATTTTGCTTAAGAACAATACATCAAAATATACACATCCTTTGGCAGAGCACATAACCTATAAAATGAGTACTGGTTGCACTGTAACAATATTTGATTCTTAGATTTTTAACATAAAGGGATGTGTTCTGCAGTAATGACTGCTGGTGGGATTGAGATGATTTCTCCTGGAGGTTTTGTTGGTATTTGTGCCATGGAAGGACACATGAGGGCTAGTAATTAATGCTTTTAAAAAGCCTTGCTTCCTTAAACAGCTGACTAACTATGAATGGGTTTCACTGACCCTGTGTATGAAGTAAAGCAGTTAAAGAAATATATAGTTACAAATATACAGTTACAAACTAGTGTTTGATCAATTTCCATGTTCTTTGGAGTGGAGGTCCTAGAAGACACAGCTTCTCTCCCTACCTTCCCCCAAGACATAAGCTAGTTTTCCCAACCACTGGTGGGTTTTGTTTCAGTCAAGACTTTCCTTGATTATCTCTCTCCACTCTTTTCCACTTTTTTTCAATGACATTTTATTTTATTTGAAACACTTAAAGGAGATAAAATAAGTGGTAATTCTGGAAGAATTGGACTCAGGGACTGGGAGTAGCAGCCCTCACATGCCACATCGTGCCTACAGCCATCACCTGAGAGCATCAAGGAACACAAAACCCTTGCTCTGAAGGAGTGATGCTAATTAAGATCGCCTAGGCAGCATTTAATAAGTTCTGATGCCTGGGCCTTATTCCCAGAGACTACGATCTAACTGGTCAAAATGGGGGCATGGGCATCAGGATTTTGTAGGGGGAAAGCTCTGAGTGATTCTATGGAGCAGTAAGGATTGACAACCATTACCCTGGGGCAGAGCCAGCCTGGACAAGATCCTACTTCTAACACCAACTAAGAGTCACACTAAGCAGGGATGACCCAGAGCGTGGCTGGGCTTCCCAGTGTCTCTGAATCCTTAGGCACTGACAGATCTTGCTTTAGCCTTTGGGATTTTTGTTTCTCAGAATACTTCCTCAACAGTTTTCATCTCCTGGTAAGGAATTTCATTGTAAGTAGTTACATGAACAAAATGCTCCCAACAGTATTGCTATTTTCAATCCACACACTTAGGATTGTTTCATAAGTCAGTCTCTCGTGCATGTCATCCAAATAAGTTAAGCAATAGAAATAAAACCAAGAATCTCCAATGGAAACTTAGAACAGCCTAGATTTTCATGTACTGAGATACCTGGAAGGTTGAAATAGTCTCCTGGAACATCTTTGGTAATAGTGCTGAGGAAATGAGACGCCTAGATAAAGCCAGGTTTCCTGTGAGACCTGGTCATAAGCAGAAGTGGAAGATGGGCATTCTTAGGTAAGGGGAGATAACTTGCAGAATTTAATGAAAATTGAGCCTTAAGAGGTATTTTTCTCTGTGACTAAAGAAAAATAATGTTACACAAATGGAGTCATAATAAACGTTTAAGGGTATC